CCCTGCAGAGCGCCTTGTTGGATGAGACTTATTAGTGGTAGGTCGCATTCATCATGTTATAACACTAGCATCAGACTCGTGTGGCGCTTTGAAAGGACACGTACTAAGCGAAGGCTAAACAGATCCTCAGGAACTGCTACTAGCCGTGTGAGGTCGCTTATTCCGTGAGTCTCAGCATGATCTCTTCACATATAGCCACCAATTTGGTGGCTCCTATCGGTAACCTGGGTGTGCCCTCGGTATCATGTAACTCAACCTTTAGAGTCGAAATGGATGAATAGCACTGTCGAACCCCGTGTCTGAACATCCAACCTTACCAAACGGGAAGGAAATACCGGTAACAGTATCCGAAATTGATCTTCATCAGTTGAATACTTACCTTACACAACTCTGCCCAAAATACCCTATTCCTCAGTTAGTAGCACATTGCTACAGTTGTCAGTGATTGCTGTGGTTTACCTGGGATTAAATCATAATTATGTGGATTCTAAAAGGTGGAAAGTTTGCGACCCTCTATAACGAAGTATTGATTGAAAATACAACCGAAGGCCACTGAAACCTCGAGCTCGCCTAACAACATATTCCGCGGATTGCATCTGAAACTGGGGAAATTGTATTAAATGTCTTTTCTCGATGATAACGTTTTTATGGAGGTGAGGCCGGATAGCTAAGGGCAATCAGTTTCTTGGTGGAGAGTTGGAGAATCCCTGAATCTTAGGTGCAGAAAAAATATCGGAAAATTCGGCTTGGATTATTGTCGACTTAATCTATATGAATTTATTGGACAGTACAACCGTCTGAAAGGCGTTTTATCCTTTTGGTGGATACTACCGTCTAAGAAAACTACATAATTCACGCAAAAATCACTCAATTCCTCTCAAAATAAAAGACAAGCACACACAAAAGTGTCATGAATTGATTTCTGTATTATAAAGACTCCTATATCATGATTTGTTTATTCAATCTGAAATATAGTATTATCACTATTGTCACTATGGCAGAACAGTTCAGTCCCTAGATCATAGAGTTCAGCTATCCTACTGTTAACCACAATGAGCTATGTTGTGAACAAAGGTTTAGGAAGGAGTTAAGTGTGGCGCTCTTACAACATGTCACCCACACATACTGACTCGCGGAAGCTATATACGGTTGACGGGAATGAGTACCATACCAGGGGAAAACCCCATTCCGAAAAATTGGTGACCACAGCACTGGCGGAGGTAAACATGCATACTGCATTTAACACTTTCTAGCCCGAAAAACTTCAGCGATTAACGGATATCTAGCCACCCGGACAGTTCAAAAAGGACAGATTGATCCGTTCGTACAGTGAAAATGTCATACTAACCTGTTCGTCGCACAGTGTCACAAACAAGAAGGCAACATTTGACCACTGGTTTGCGAAGTTTGTATTCGATTCTTCTGGTCCCGCTCTACTAGTGAAAGACGAAGCTCCTCCATCGGTGAAAACTATAATCTGATGGAAGAACATTGTGCGCCATGTGGACCTATTAATCATACCTGGATGGGATAAGCGGGACCCCAGTATTTGAACAATTCAGTGATGGTCCACTGCATGAGACTGGAAAAATTTCGATTCAGTTGTGCCATTGGATTCGGATCAGGAAGATGTGTGATCGCATCGCGCATCGCTTCAGCCTGATGCATGAACGGATGCAAAACCGGGGTTTCGTTTGAATCATTAGGATGAACCTGGAATTCGAGAAATGTCAAAACAATAATGATGGTCAAGTTCTTCCATCAATCTGATGTGCATCGTGCTGTTATGGGTCTTACAGTGCACTATTGATCATAAGAAGTGTGTGACCGATGGGGAAATATTTTAGTGCACAATAAAAACATGCAGTGTACACGACCATTCGTGAGCCGATTCTGCGGTTTGCTTTAGCATGTTCGACTAAGCCAATAGATAACATAATAAGGTCTGTGGTGGTTTAACTGTTTGAACGTTCGAGAGTAGTACGAATGAGTCAGGACTTACTTATTCATTACTACCTAAGTGTCCAACTGGGTGACGGTTTTTTTAGCACAAAACACTAGTTATCCGATATTGGAAAAACGATAATCAAATGTTGTCCGGGGATGCAATCAATATGGGGTTTCGCCAGCAGATCTACAGGATAGCGAAGCTATGGGTAGAAACATATGGGATATTATACAACCTAAATCAGTGTGAAGAAGTAGCAGGAACAAAGCTTGTATTAGGATTGGTGTCATGAGAAATCTAGTGTTATGGTCAAAAGCAGTATACACCGCATTAAAAGTGAATAGAACAGAATTGTTTTATAGGAAGATTGTGAATTGATTTGATCGTTTGCGGTTCTATCGAACACGTATGGACAGAGTGATCTGAAGTGAAACATTGAATTTTTGGAAACTGTGAGGAAACAGCAAAACACAATCATCTGAGACCGATGGAGAGATTAAACAGAGCTTTACCGAAAGGTTGCACTGAATTACGACAATTATCCATAACCAGAGAAACCTCCATTTCAGATGGAGGACTAGCATCAACTGGGAATATCTGCTCAGTCGAGGTGGGGATGATAGGTCAGATATCAATGGGGGCCAGTTGAACTGAGCCTTGAAGTGTTCAGTCCATCGATTAAGACGGCGTTGCTGATCGTGTATCAGTGTGCCATCGGATTCCTTAATTACCTCACACACGCCTATTTTCCTGGGGCCCGTATTCCTAATCAAACGGAAAAGATTGCGACTATTTCTGATAGCCGCAGCTTCCTCTATCTCTTTATACTTTTTTATCCACCAATTTTCGCGGCTATTCCTCACGTTCCTGATGAGATAACGTTCAAGGGATTTGCGCACGGAGTTATATGCGCCATCGGGAGGAAGGGTTCCGCGGGCGCCCAGTAGGGAAGGGGAGAATCAGGAGCTGCTATCGGGTTCTTGAGCGACAGTTACCGATTTGCACTTACAAAAAAAACAACCACATCAAAGCAATTCTGGTTGCGTAGTCCAGAACATCGTCATTCCCAGACATAGTTGCATCGTCACGATTGATTGACTGCCGCGGGAAACTGAAAGTTATTCGTAGCCAGGTGTGATCAGCTAGGATGATTCCGTTTTCATAAGCCGCATGAAAGTATAAAACATACCAGCATAATATTTCCTTGATCGTCGAATTTATAAGGGCTTTTCGAGTAACAACCGACAGTGGACAGTCATTGCTATCCGTCTGTTAGCGGTCGGGTATATGTCACATTTGCTCCCTCGGTTCTGCTATATGCTGTAAAGACTTGGTCGTTACGGGAACCGGATAAGAGAGACAGAGAATATTTGAACGGTGCTGCCTATGACCGAATCGCATCTTGACAGGGTGTGATATCTGCCGCAAGTGAAAGGTTCATACCACCAGTTCTGCTGTACAGAACAGAAACCTGATCATTAAGACAACAGGATA